GTGGAAGCCAGGAAGAACTATCATGCGCCATCACTTGGCCGCCTCGGGGCCCTGGGCGGTCGGCTTTTGTTATGCTAAAAACAAAAAAGAAAACATCAAATGAAAAGGCAACAAATTCAATTACGACGCTGCGTCGTGAGCCCGCCCTGGGGGCAAAGACCGCAGATGCAGCAGCAGCAGCATCAGCCACCACTTCCGACCTTTTAGCCAGTCAGCCAGTCAGCCAGCCGTCCATCCATCCATCCATCCCACCGATCATCCAGGCAATTCGTCGAAAGTTTCTTTCTCATACTGCGACCCCTATGGAAGGAACCACACAAGACGTTGTGATCTCGGTGGTCCAGCTTTTGATTGCAAGTTCTTGATGGTCCCTCAGATTCAAGACGCCGAGTGGATGTAAAACTGTCGCAGATCGTATAACACTTGTTAGCCTGTCCCACAGATTTCTAGCGAACTGAACTGAACTGCCGGGCGAACAATGGGATCGACGATCGATGAGATCCCCGACAAAAATGCGGGCAATTGCAACTTTCTTGAGGTTAAACGCAAGTTGCTCTTGAGCCTCGAGGACATTGTTCCAGCGGCTCAACGGATTTGCCCCTAATATTTTTCTCACCTCCAGGAGGTCCACTCCACTCAACCTCAACCTCAGACCCCGAATTCGAGCCGAACCATTGTCCCGTCCGTCCTCAGATTGCAACAATCAAAAGGAGAGGCGAGCAGATTCGTGGATGTGCAAAGATTTCTATGGACTTAGACTTAAGCATCAAGTACTTAAGAGCGTAAAAAAGAGACATACGAAGGGAGGAGAGAACTCCACTCCACTCCACTTGTGATTAGGCAACGCTTCAGTGATCCTGCCAAGTCCTGGCCTTATTGTCACTCTCGACTAATCGCCTCGGACAACGCTCGATCCCCGATCCTCGATCGTGTGTGAGATGATCAGAAATGAAATGTTGATCGATTCTCCTCTTTCTCGGACGGACAGCTGCTTGAACGTATCAAGCGGGTTCTCTAATGAGGTTCCCCATACCACACCACACCATGCCATACCATATTCCCTTTCCCCTTTCTTCCTTGGGATGGGCTGGCTCTTGTCTGACAAATTATGCGACTAAGCGTCAAAGACAATGCCGAGGCTGGTGGTGTATGCAAATACAAAGAACTCCGGACGGTTTTCCGCCGAAAATTTGCCATTTGCCCACTAAAGTAAGTTAAGCTGAACTTAAGGGCACTAAGCAGGGCCTAAGGAGCAGGACCTAGGCTTAGTTGCCGCTGCCTCTCCTGCTCTCCTGCTCTGCCGCTCCCCGGCTCCTTATCTGTGCGGCAGATATAGAAAATTGATCTGGCGATAAATCGAGGCTACTCAATTTACAAAAACAACGCCGCCTCGGGCTGACTTTTGCTTGCCGCAAGACTGAAGCCGTACAGAAGAGACAGAAACAGAGACAGAGACGTCCTGACTTCAGGTACAACAACGGGGATAGGGACAATCGGAAGCCGGATTTGCAAAGATCTAGCCATCTCTGTCGCTCCGCTACTCCTCCTCCTCCTGCTCATACTCTTTATCCCGATGCTGCTGCTGTTGCAAGCCAGGATCAAACGGATGTTTAATATTTTGGCTTAGAGACATTCTCATTACATTTGAAAACAAAGGCAGCCGCAAGAGCAGAGGAGTCCTGCCTCGTAGCAGACCGCCCGGCCAGGATTTGGGCATTTAGCAAAAGGGTAATCCTGCCCATTAAAATCTATTTGCATACTCATATTTTTGTTTCGCTAGGTAATTGCTCCTGGATAAGGATCGCCCGCAGAGGCAGTGCTCGGCAGAGCCAGAGGCAGAGACAGAGACTCTGCGAACGAGTGTGGTTTAGGCTTCCGAGACCTTAACCTGTTGCCACACCTGCCCCGGGCCTGGGCCCACGACGGCATTGGGACCTGGACCGGGATCGGGATCGCTTACGCGAACTGCGCTAATCACGGCGGGCCCTCGGGTTCGCCTTCATTGAGCTCGCGCTGGGGATTACTTAATCAACGAAAATCTATGAATTAAAAGTGTTACCGAAAATCCACCGGCTTCTCTCACTTGTTACGAGCGGAAAATTCCGGAGAACTGAGCAGCAGGCCACAGATCCAGAACCACTTGAGAAGGTATGGGTTGATCTGCGCCTGGCTTAGAGAAGGGCACACAGCCCATAGACCCACTCGACCGATCGGCGGGCCAAAGCTTGCAGATTTAAAGCAGTTCAAGTGAGGCACAAGTTAGTCCAAGTCCAAGAAAGATCAGGAATAGTCCACCCCCCATCGAAGGGATGAAAAGAAGTTCCAAGGAGGCATAAGTTAGTCCCAGTCCCAATCCCAGGCGAAGTCCACGATAGATCAGAGTTTTATCTGAGCCTCAAGTCCAAGAAAAATCGCCAAGAGACCCGCATCTTTATGACTCCTTCTTTGGTCTCCGTTTTGTGTCTTCTTTTTTATAGACATTATAGAAATCAAAAAGTGAAAATCCCTGGCTCGCCGAGAGTGCAAAAACTACAAGAGAAGACTGCAAATTAAGACCAGAACAATGCCGGGGCCCCGACAATGTGCAGAAAAACGTCACTGATGACAGAATGATGAGGATTAAGCCAACACACAGGCACACACGCAGAGATCCAGAGAGCACAGAGCACAGAGCACAGAGCACACAGCACAGAGTCCTGTTCCTGGCCTGTCCTGAGTCTATTAAAAGTCTAAAGGCAGATAATAAAGGGCCATTAGGACTTAAAAGGGCTCAACAGCAGCAGCAGCAGCAGCAACAGAAATAGAAATGTCAGGGACTATAGACAATATAGAGAGAGTGGAAGAGAGAGGGAGACAAATTTGTTACCCCGGACCCGGGTTCAACAGCATCCGAGTGAACCGGGGACCTTGCCGAAAGTCGAAATGGCAGCACCAACGAAGCATATTTAATTCCAAATCCCCGCAGGCACTGAAGCAGCAGCCATGCCATGCCATGGGTGCCCTTGGGTTAGGGTAGGTTTTTGCACATCCTCGTGGCTCTGTGGCTCTTTGGCTCTGTGGCTATGGATGTGTGTCAGTGGAATAGACCTACTCTACTCATCTGGCCAGAGATCTACCCAGAGCGAGAGAGAGTGCGCTCTCCGCTCTGTTTGCTTTGGCCAACGCAATTTGGCAACTGTGTTCCTGAATTGTTTGTTCAGCCTTCCCAACGAAAACTCATTTTCAACCGTGCCTGCTCCGGCTCCTGCTCCTGCTGCTGCTCCTGCTTTTGTGAAAGGATTCAATTGCTATTGTCCGCTTGGCAGAGCGGGGATAGCGATCCTGAAGCAGCAGCGGCACCCCAATCCAGCGATCCAACGCGGCTCGACAAAGTCACAAAAGTGAATTTTTGCTTTTTAACTTTACGAATTTCGTTGTGTTGTCTGTGCGCCCATGTGTTTTTGGCCGTTCTGTTGGAGAGGAGAGGGAAATGGGAACTGGAGCGGCCATTGCTATGTTGTCTGTGGAAGGTTCCCAAATTAATCCCGACTTTGGTCTGCTCATGTGGAAAAACTATGCAAATTTGTTTGATTTCCTTCTTCAATGCCAAATGTCTTTGTTCCGATATTTGCATAATTCATTTGTGATTAGTGCCGGCAATGCGGTTGCTTCGGATGTCTCAAAAGATATGGAAAGCATCACAAAATGGCATTGCATAAAAAAGTATCATAAGTCCCGCTGTAATCCCCATGATTCCCCATGTATGCCAAACACTTTTCAATTATACCAGATGACGGGGTATAAAATAATATTTATTTAAATGCTATTAGATGCCAGATATCAAGAAGGCTCTTCACAGAAAGACCCGAGTAGAAGCAAAACAATGAAAACGAAGGAGAGAACAATAACAACTGCATAGCGAGAGCGCTAAAGCACAGAACAATTTAGTGAGAGACGATTAGCAGGAGAGAGATGGATAGAGATAAGGCAATGCAAGTGCGTGCGTGCAGAGAGCAGTTTAATGAGCGAGAGAGGGTTAACCGTTGGATAGCTAATAGTGAAGCTATAGCAAGAGAAAACTTTACCAACAAAGAAACTTTAGCTAGATAAGGAGGGACAGCAACAACACAAAGCACGCGACTCAAATCGACGCAAAAGAAAAAAAAACATTTCTGTTTTTTTCTTTCACTAGGAAAGATTTTACGCAATGGAATAATCATGGATTATTTTCTTATATTACACTGGTGTTTTGCTTCTTAAATGTATTTCGATGTACATATTTTGACTCAATTTTTAAATTAAGACGGTTCTGAAAAATATAATCTGAAAGTAGACGAAGTATACACCGTCTACAAAAATCATTGCAAAGTAGAGACCATCTTGCGATATTATCCACGGTTCCTTTTGTAAATCGGTGATGGAAGAGCAAAACAGATTAGGGAATGCTTTCTTTCTGTTTTCAACTGCACTTTTTAATGTTTTTTTGGGACCAATCGGTATCCATTTCCAATAAAAACTGAAATTTATATACAGTATTATTTAACATTCCCAATAAAATGTCCACAAATATTAATTTCAAAACCTTTAGGTTTATTTTTGAAAAGTTCTTGTTAATTTCTTAAATCGAATGATATGCACTTAGATGTAAATGTTTTTAACTTCTAACTAAACTAAAAGTATTAACAGGAAAAGTTGAGACTTTTACGAATGCAATTTGAATCACTTCGCGGATGGGCATGTACTTGGGCTTGGGCTAAGGCTAAGGCTAAGGCTAGTTAAGGGCTAAGAGACTCCGACTAATCTGGTGAGTGGGATAAGGTATTGGGGTGCGTTTAAGGCTCAACTCCTGGAGATGTGTAGCATTCACTGATTCAATATTGTCCAATGCCAAATGCCAAATGGATCCGAGGTTATCACAGTTCCCAGCACTAGGAAGGCACTTCAAGTGCACGAATTCGCATGATTCGCCGACGGCAACTCAGGTTTGCTTTCCACTTTCGATCCTTTCCTTTCCTTTCCACTCAGATCTTGCGCTGGCTATACATGTCGGAGATGAGACGAACGATGGTGATGTCGCCGATGGTCTTGCGGAAGAACAGCTCCTCGATGGTGAAGCTGGAGACCTTGTGCATCATGGAGACGACGCCGAGGAGGGTCTGGAAGCGCAGCGGCTGGTTCGGGTGGGTGCGCGAGATGTAGTTGTGGAGCGCACTGCGGGCGTCGTTGTGCATGGCCGCCACTTTGCCGGACTCCAGCAGGCCCCGGGACTCGGCCGAGGCGGAGGAGTTGGGGCTGCCGCTGCCCGTCAGGATGGAGCTGTTGGCCAGATCCTCGGTGGAGCTGGCCGCCGGCGGGGACTTGCGGAAGAGGGAGATGGCCCGCAGGCACTCGTACTCGGTGCTGTCCACGTTCATGTGGCACAGCTGGTTGAGCACGTCCTGGAAGGCGTGCACCTCCCGGGAGACCATGCCCACGATCTCGCGGTTGTTGTTCTCCGCCTCGTAGACGAACAGCAGCTGGGCAAAGTTCATGGGCATGAGGTACTGGGCCATGGCCAGGATGAAGAACTCCTTCCACGACTCCTCCAGCAGCATCAGCTGGTCGGGCATCGGCAGCTCAGTGAAGGCCCGCACGCTCTTGATCCAGTTGACGTTCTTGAACAGGTGCTCGGCGGCTGTCTCCTTGATGTGCTCGGCGGCCATCAGTGGAGGCGTGGGGGGCAGGGCCCGCGTGGCCAGGGCATTCATGTAGGCGGCCGTGGGGGAGAAGAAGCCGTGGTGGCCCTGGTGCCCGGGATGGTGGGGCACGCGAGGCACAGAGAGATCCAACACGGCGGCTGGTGTCTGGAAGGCGGCGCTCAGCGCTGGGTGGCCCGGATGGCCGGCGTGGTGGTGGGGTCGCTGCACTCCGGGAATGGGCATGGGCAGGCCGGGGAAGCCGTTGAGGGCGGCTGTGTTCATGAGGATCTCTGGCGGGATCTGGGGCATCTCGCCGGCGCCCATCATCGCGTCCTTGTACATGGCCATGTGGCGGCGCAGCGTGGAGTTGCGGGGCCCGCGCTCGTGCTGCACTGCGTCCTTGTTCATGCCCACCTCGAAGCACTTGCGCAGGCGGCAGGCGCGGCACTGGTTCCGGTGTGTCTTGTCCACCACGCAGAGGCCCTGCTTCTGGGACTTGCACACGTACTGGCGGGAGCGGCGGATGCTGCGCTTGAAGAATCCGGCACAGCCATCGCAGGCGTAGATGCCGTAGTGCTTCCCGGAGCTGTGATCCCGGCACACTTTGCAGGGCACATGGTAAAGGATGCGGCCTGGAAGAGCAACAAAAGAGGAGAAGTTGGTTAGAATTGATTTGATTTGTGGATTGAAGGACTGTAACAGGGGAGTGGGAGTTCTTTGGTTTGAGCTTGACCCGGGGATCTTTGGTGTACTTACTTGATGCCGCTGGGGACAGCCGGACGCTGTTGTACTTCTGATCCATCATGTCTGGTGAACCCTCCGCAGACTGCATACCGATGTGGGGCGTAATTTTGGCGATTTATATAGACACGATTGGGGGGCACAAAATTTGTTTTTCTTTGGTTCACTCTTGGTTTGTCTTGACACTAAAGCACTGCTCGTCGGAATAGCTATTGTTCGATATTGGATTGCGATTCGTTTTGATTTCGTTTTCGGTTTATTGGGTTATCCTTGCTGGAAGCACGCCGTGTTTTGCCGGACTACGATGATGTGGACTCGCTGAGATCACGACTGGTTGTGTTGTCTGCTCACCACCCTGCTCCTGTTTTAATAGTCCTGCCGCGCAAATCCCGGACCTCCTGCCATTCATCGAGCACTCCGATCACCCTTAGGTAGTCGAGCGCTCCGTTTATTGGTCGTCGCTTCTTCGGGGGGTTGGAAGCTGCTCCTGCCAGCTCTCTCGCACGCACGGCCTCTAACGCGGCACTCTCTCTCGCAGCGCCTGTCTCTCTCACTCCGCACTCTCTGAGCATCAGCCTTTCGATCCTTGTAGGCAGCAGGCTGCCATTGCGAAAATTCATTGAGCAGCAGGAGCAGCAGCAGCCGTCACGTCGCTCATTCTCAATTCTATGGGTTTTTATGGCCTTTTTCCGTTGCGACCGACTGCTACCTGTTCTCGCTCTCTCTCTCTCTCTCTTTACCCCTTATCTGTCCTCTCTCTCCGATTTTCTCCCTCTCCGGAGCCCGGGGGTTTTTGGTGTGACAGTTGTTAATGAAGACAGCGCCGTGCCAGGCCGGGCCGTGGGCATCCATCCACTCTCCGTTTATGGCGCTGCCATTATTGCCGCTTTGTGATTTGTGTGAAGTACCTGTGGGCTCTGTTCTCTCCGGCTTGGTGGGTAGTTCTACTCGAGGACCCCTGCTTGAGGGTTGCTCGGAATTATTGATTGTTTTCCATTCAATAATTAGTTGTCTTTTATGATGCAATCAAATGGGGTCTATTTTTTATGGATGCCAAAAAGGGGGAACTACCAAAACTACATGTACCATCTATAATTATTTTCAGGAAGTTTAAAGTTGAGGCAGTACACCTCATTCCTCTTACATTGAATATTGGAATTAAAACTCTTCTTGAGCATATTTGTACAATGAAGTAATTATGTTTTAATTGGAGCCCTATTAATGCTTTTTACTGGGGGAAAGCAGAGTCAAAAGGCACTTTTTTCGAAATCAAGTTGTTTTTCGTATCATCATGGAAAATGGAAATTTTTGAATTTACTTTGCACAGTACAAAAATTAGGTTGTAAGCCTGGAAGACTGAATCACATCCCCATACTTAAAAAATACAATATATCCTCAACATCTTCTTTAAAAACCTCTTTTTGTGACTTTGGGCTCTCTTATAAATATCATACAATATAAGTGTCATTCGGCATTTGCAGCGATAATATCCTAAACAATTGATCGGTTGAAAAGATCTTTGTATGTATGATCTTTCATATGATTTTATATTCGTGTCGATAATATAGCTGTACCTGAAGATATATCGAGCCAAAGTTGATGTCTTCTCTCACTTTTAATGTTTCTCCACCTTGTCTTTTTTTAGTTTTCTATGGTATGGTTACATATTTTAGTACTTAAGATTTTTAGTGGCATTAATTTCCAACAATCTACTAATCAGTAAAATTGTTCAACGAACGCCAAAGATACGAATATTATACTAAATCAACTTCATTTTATACGTAACACATTATTTTATGCAACATTTCAAATTAAAATTTACAGAAAATGCAGATCTTCTGAATATAAGATTATATTTTTATATATTCTATATTTCAAGTGTGAAAGAAATGCCATTTCAACCTTTGGATATCAATCCTTGATCCTCGATGTGTATTATATATACATAGTACATACATATTTCTCAGTGTATTTGTTGGATACTTACAGTGGAAGAGATCTCCAGCTACTCCCCCGTGTAAGCCTGCTTAGGCGTTGCCTTTTGGTAGCTCAGATCAGATCAGATCAGAGCACAGCTCTCGAAATTAGATTCAAGTGGCAGTCCTTCTAATCGGGCTTCGTAACCCAGCCAAGTCCTGGCTAGTCCTAATCACATGGCAGTGTGCCGCTTAAGAAGATTAGAGCGAAAGGAGGACTCCTGCTCCTGCCTGAGAAAAGGCAAGCTGCTGCTGTTGCAGGACCTAGATCAAGATCAAGCAAATTTAAAGCAAGCTTTCTCCGAGGATCAGCGATTTCGGAGGAAGAACATTGCACGAGTGCCATTCGAGTACTTAACGAAATGTTAAGCAAGATCCCGCAAGTCTGGTGCGATTAAGACCCAACGCCTAAGGCCTGACGAGGCCAATCCCGTCCTCAACCCCGCAACCCCGTGAATACGTGGGAACAGATCAGCCCAGAGGCACATTCAGAGAGGGTGATGCGATGTGTTCGAAATGCAAATGCTGGGAGTACGAGTGCGAGTGCGAGTATTCATGTTGATATATGATAGACACTTAAAAAGAGCAATTATATTTCGATTCGTATTACGGATGCGTAACTTGATCAATAAAATGCTTGACATGATATCACCAGCTATCACGAGGGTAGCAGGACTCTAATTGGAATAGCAACCCCTTGTTGTAGTAGGATGATGCTGCTGTTGGTGCTGTTGGTGCTGTTGGTGCTGTTGGTGCTGTTGGGGGTGGTTTGCCTCTCTGTAGGACTGACCGGGAATCGGACTTGGCCTCAGGTGTGTTGCATGTTGCATGGGAATTCGCTTGCGTGTGATGCTATGCTGATCATTAGCTGGAGGGCAGAGGGTGCCCCTGTGCCGTCCAGCGGGGAGTTGATGATCGTATTGATGTGCCTTGTGGGATGATGCTCTAGTAAACCAGATGACGATGACATATCAATTTTTGACATTCTGTTGACCAGTCCAGAGTCCAGAGTGGCGGGAGGACTTAATTGTGGGAACTCAGGAATATGCAAAGAGGCAGCGGCAGTCGCAGCCTCAGCATCTGTCCCCGCTTCCCACGTCCGGCCCCATATAGTAATTTTTCCCCCGTTTGCCCTCGCTTTCATTGAGACCAAGTACAGCTCCCGTACTTAATGAAAAATGCTGAAATATGCGAAATGAAGGCAAGCTGCTAATCCGCGGGGATTAGCGCTAAATCCACCACAAGAATTGAAACATCAGTCAGAGACCTACACAGCCCTGCACAACACTCAGGTACCGACCCACTGACGACCATTCAAGGTCGCAGTACCGCAGCCTAAAAAATGAATAAAAATTCTATGAAAATTCGCCCCGAATCCTATGACTTTTTAGCAAAGTTTATTGGAGGGCTGCAGGACATGCTGCTGCGAAAAGCGAAAGGATTTTGGGAGAAGGTGTTGCCGCTACTATGTGTAGCCGTCGTCGTGGTCGTGGTCGTGCGTGGTCATCCGGCTAATGATGATGTCGGAGCACTGTAGTTAGCACCTTTTTGTCTTCGAAGAATGCCCTGCCACCAGGTAGCTGTTTCTTTTCGATTTTTATGCCACTTTCGCTGGACAACTCGCTTTCATGAATCGCCATCGAAAGGGTTAAGGGTTAGGGTAACCATAAAACACAGTCGACGCCATGGACCTAATGACACTTCGAGCGAAACAAAAAGAAAACCAGAGCTGAACAAAGTGAAAGGGTTAAAGATACATTTGGGAAATTCACTTCATTTGCATTTCATTTGCGATTCGGTTTTACGGCCCGGGCCCAAAAGTTGCCGCCGACGCTTCCAGCATTCATTGAGGATCGGATCGGATAGGATCGCAATGACCTGCCGCCTGCCGCCTGTCGCTATGAGGACGGCTGCTCTACGATGCTCGGCTTCTGTTCCCTAGTTTTCCATTCCCCTTACCTTTGCCTCATTATGAATCGCGCCAGACTTTTGGTGGGAAAGACCCGAAATGTCATTAGGTGAGTGTTTTGTTCCCGTTTTATGGCCCCAATAAATACTGCATATCTGGTAGAACAGATTTTGTGCACACACTCGTATAATGTGTATTGTCTTACCTTTTATTTGAATTCTCACAAAAGGAGAATCCCCCAGCTATATAAACACCTAAAGAAAATGAGGAATATGAACTGCATATAGCCATGTTTTACACACTAATTTGATGATAGATTGTGAAGATATTTCAGGAATTAATCAGGAACAGATATGCCTTCTTAGCCCACGAATTGGGGGCTACTTGAGGAATGATTAAAGATCCTAAGATTACTCCTTCTCTGAGCTCCTATATCTGGTCTTGGTCTTCCTTGATCTTCCATGATCTCCCTGCTTAATCTGCAGAGTTATCCCTTGATTACATTGAGCTCTCTGTGGGCTATAAAAACCCTCTTCCAGGGACCTCTCATTCTCAGCATCCATTTGCCTATTTGAACCCAGAAAAAAAAACGCATTCCCTCTTCCCCAAACTGCGTCTCAGAATGTCCTTTGGTCTATGATCTCTCTTCCATCTAGCACAAAGCATATCCCGAGCGGATATCCATGCCATTGACATGGAAATCGAAAAAGATTTCGGGGGTACTACTTGGAAGGGACAAACTCAAACCATTAAAAGTAACCAAATCTTCCCAAGATGACAGCCCAGCAATTATCTTTTTTGGCGCCAAGAAAAGGAGAATTAAAGCAAACATTTTACCGAGATTTTGGCGCTCGGTTTATGCAAATGCAGTCGGGCACTGCGGAAATGGAATCCTTTGAGGACAACTTCCGCTGGAACGAGTCATCAAAGTTCATAAAAGCAAAAAGCGAATCAAACCCAAAAGTGCAAACAGACAGGGGAGGGAACGCCACGCAGGAGAGGAGGAGAGACAATCCACGGCGACATCCACAGGAAGCGACTCACGAAATCACGTCAAAACGAAGTGCAAATGGAAGAGGCCCAGTCCCGAGGCAGGAAATGAACTATTAGACCCCGAGGCATCAGAAGAAACAGAAACAGGGACGACGACGACAACAGCTAGAAAAAGCGCAATAATTGAATCAGGAACAGGGACAGAGGGACAGA